TACTTTTTTTTTTTTTTTTTTTTTGGACGGAGTTTCGCTCGTTACCCAGGCTGGAGTGCAATGGCACGATCTCGGCTCACCGCAACCTCCGCCTCCTGGGCTCAGGCAATTCTCCTGCCTCAGCCTCCTAAGTAGCTGGGATTACAGGCACGCGCCACCACGCCCAGCTAGTTTTTGTATTTCTAGTGGAGACGGGGTTTCACCATGTTGACCAGGATGGTCTCGATCTCTCGACCTCGTGATCCACCCGCCTTGGCCTCCCAAAGTGCTGGGATTACAGGCTTGAGCCACCGCGCCTGGCCATAAATTCTACTTCTAACCAATGTAACACTATGCAGATTTTCTATTTCAAAGAACCAACTTTTGGCCTTGTTGATTTTCTCTAGTGGTTATTTCCTATTTCCTTATTTCTATCTTCTACTTACTTTAGGTGTACTTTACTGTCCTTTTTCTAGCATTTGAAGGTGGAGACTTAGACCAAAGATTTTAGATTTTTCTGTCTGTTTCTGTTGAAAGTATTTAAGGCCAGAAATTTCTCTGTAAACCTTATTTAGCTGTGTCCCACAGTTTTTGATATTTTTAAACTTTATCCCTCAGTTCAAAAATATTTTGTTGTCTAACTTCCAATTTTCTGTAGCTTTTCTAAATATCTTATTGTTAGCAATTTCTAACTTAAATCCATTTTGTTAGATAATATATTCTTCATTATTTCCCTCTTAATTTATTGAGACCTACCTTATGCTCAGCATATAGTCTTATCTTAATGAATGCTCCTCATATACCTGAGGAAAAAATGTGTATTCTGTAGTTGTTGGGGGTACTAACCAATAAATGTGCATTATGTCAAATTAGTAGATAGTTTAATTCAAATTGTTTGTAGTCTTATTTTTTTGAGATAGGATCTCGCTATGTTGCCCAGGCTAGCATGAAACTCCTAGGCTCAAGGGATCCTCCCTCCCGAGTAGTTGGAACTACAGGTGTGCACCACCACGTCCAGCTAAATCTTCTGTATTCTTGTTTTGTTTTTTGAGACGGAGTTTCGCTCTTGTCACCCAGGCTGGAGTGCAATGGCTCGATCTCAGCTCACCGCAACCTCCGCCTCCTGGGTTCAGGCAATTCTCCTGCCTCAGCCTCCTGAGTAGCTGGGATTACAGACACGCACCACCATGCCCAGCTAATGTTTTATATTTTTAGTAGAGACGGGGTTTCACCGTGTTGACTAGGATGGTCTCGATCTCTTGACCTCGTGATCCACCCGCCTCGGACTCCCAAAGTGCTGGGATTACAGGCGTGAGCCACCGTGCCCGGCCCAATCTTCTGTATTCTTAATGACTTTTTGCCTATTCTCAGTATACTGTCAATTACTAAGAAAGAACTGTTGAAATTTCTAGCTATGATTATAGTATAATCTATTTCTTCCTTTAGTTCTGTTATTTTTGTCTTCTGATATTTTGTAGCTCTATTATTAAAAGTTTCAAACATGTTTGAGTTCAAATCCGAGCTGTACCATTTTGCAATTGTATTATCTTGGCCAAGTTGCATGTCTTTTATGAGCTTCAGTTTCCTGATCTATAAATTGAGGAGAATGGATGTTTTTGTGCTGATTTTACAGGATCGTTATGCAGATCACATGGAATCATTTATATAGCTATATTATAAAAACTGCACCTGAAAAAAATAAAAATAAAACCTGTCCAAGCACTGTGGCTCATATCTGTAATCCCAGCATTTTGGGAGGCCGAGATGGGCGGATCACTTGGGGTCAGGACTTTAAGACCAGCCTGACCAACATGGTAAAATCCCATCTCCACTAAAAATTCAAAAATTTAGCTGGATGCGGTGGCCCACACCTGTAATCCCAGCTACTTGGGAGTCTGAGGCAGGAGAATAGCTTGAGCCCAGGAGACAGAGGTTGCAGTGAGCCAAGATCAAGCCACTGTACTCCAGCCTGGGGGAGAGAGTAAGACTGCATCTCAAGAAAAGAAATAAATAAAAACTGCAAATGTAAATAAGTAAGACATTATTGTTACAGGATTTAATGAAAACTATTCATAATCCCCATATTTTTCTTTTCTTTTTTTTTTTTTTTTTTTTTTGAGATGGAGTTTTGCTCTTTTTGCCCCAGGCTGAAGTGCAGCGGCATGTTCTCAGCTCACTGCAACCTCTGCTTCCTGGATTCAAGCAATTCTCCTGCCTCAGCTTCCCAAGTAGCTGGGATTACAGGCATGTGCCACCACACCTGGCTAATTTTTGTAATGAGATGGGGTTTCACCATGTTGGCCAGGCTAATCTTGAACTCCTGACCTCAGGTAATCTGCCCTCCTTGGCCTCCCAAAGTGCTAGGATTACAGGTGTGCCCCACTGTGTCTGGACCCCACACGTTTCATAAATATGTAAATTTCAGTCTTATCTCCATAACACCTCATCTTCCTGAACTGGAAAACCCTTCTTTCTCTGGCCCATTTGATATCTCTTTGATAATTTCAGCAGCTCTTTTCCTATACCATCTCTACCATTAGAATGTATCCCTTTTAAAACCACTGCATCAAGGCCTATTCATGCTCATACGAGACCCAGTTAAAACAGCATGTCTTCCATGACAATTTCCCACTTGTGTTTATTCACTCCGACTTCTGAGATCCTGAACTATATTTCATCTCATCCTACTATAAATATTTGCACATTTTCACTAACCTTACCTGAATAAAACTCCATGGAGCATTTGGTTCATCTCAGTATTTCTACTGCTTAGAAATATTGAGACTTGACACAGAGTTAAGTTCTCAGTAAGTGCTGTATGAATGAATGAAAGGGTAGAGGTATGTGGGTCAGGAAAGGAATGCTTTGTCTCTGTGAGCTTCAGTACTAAAAGCATTGTCCTTTTGTAGATACATAACAGGTGAAGAAGCCCAGTAGGTTGGGCTGGTAGTTCCCAAAATGTAATTCCTGTATCCCCTTTGCTGATGCAGAGGTAGTTCAAGAAGCCTTTAATGCTCAATTCATCTTTAATTCATCCTATAATGCTCAATTCATCTTTGTTAAACACTAAACCTTAAATGTGCCTGGAAGACTTGGAAGACTTTTCAGAGTGACTAAGTTTTTTTTTTTTTTTTTTTTTTTTTTTGAGACGGAGTTTCACTCTTGTTACCCAGGCTGGAGTGCAATGGTGCGATCTCGGCTCACCGCAACCTCCACCTCCTGGGTTCAGGCAATTCTCCTGCCTCAGCCTCCTGAGTAGCTGGGATTACAGGCACGCACCACCATGCCCAGCTAATGTTTTGTATTTTTAGTAGAGACGGGGTTTCACCATGTTGACCAGGATGGTCTCGATCTCCTGACCTTGTGATCCACACGCCTCGGCCTTCCAAAGTGCTGGGATTACAGGTTTGAGCCACCATGCCCGGCCGATAGGTAGGTTTTAAAGTATAAAAAGATGTTTCCTGGAGTTAGATGGGAAGGTTAGAAAGTTCAGAAAAAAGTAACAGTATAGAGATTGTTGTGAAATTTTTTTAAAGTCAAAATTTTAGCATGCTATGCAAGTACTTTATTTTCCTACCTCAATTGTCACTCTACACACAAGTTGTATAGAATTAATTGTTCTTCTAGTCTTTTTCTTCCCTCTGAGCCTTTATTTTTGAGATGAAGTCTTGCTCTTGTCGCCCAGGCTGGAGTGCAATGGTGCTATCTCAGCTCACTGCAACCTCCACCTCCTGGGTTCAAGTGATTCTCCTGCCTCAGCCTCCCAAATAGCTAGGATTATAGGCATCTGCCACCACACCTGGCTAATTTTTGTATTTTTAGTAAAGACGGGGTTTCACCATGTTGGCCAGGCTGGTTGTGAACTCCTGACCTCAGGTGATTCACCTGCCTCAGCTTCCCAAAGTGCTGGGATTACAGGCGTTAATCGCCATGCCCCACCAGTTTTTTTTTTTTTTTTTTAATATACCGTCCAGAAATTTTTTTGTTTTTGCTTTTTAATGCCTATTACATTAAAAATACTAGGGAATAGGCTCCAGCAACCCAGGCTCCTTCCCATTTGTTCTGACACAGTGTGCTTCTCTGGGTGGAACAGGCTGGCATTTCATTTGAACCCAGGTACCTTTCTGTCTGGCTTCCTTCTTTTTCTGAACATTTTCCTTCACACATTTCAGGAAGCCATATTGGCTCTTAGAGCACTTAATGTGCTCAATATTCACATTAATTCTCTTGGCAAGAATCTGGCCCATAACTTGTTTGTTTACAACAATGCCAACAGCATGCTGGGTATAATACTGTAGACTCTTCCAGTTTTGCCATGGTAACATTTGTGGGACATTCCTTTTTGAACAGCACCCATTCCCTTGATGTCTACAATATCACCTGTCTTACAGATTCAAATGTACGTGGCCAAAGGAACAACTCCATGTTTTCTAAAAGGCCTAGAGGACATATATTGGGTGTCTCTCTTTCCGAAACTCTGTATTAGTTTTTTTGGGAAATTACTGGAAGATAGTGGTTCCCGCCACAAGGTCCTGAGCCTTTTTAAATGCTTTTTCCTGTAATTGGAATGCCTTGTTTCCCTGATTTCCTTAATTTTATTTATTTATTCATTTATTTATTTATTTATTTATTTTGAGAGAGGGTCTCACTCTGTTGCCCAGGATCGAGTGCAGTGGTACAGTCATGACTCACTCCAGACCCAACCTTCCAGGCTCAAGCAATCCTCCCAATTCAGCCTTCCTGAGTAGCTGGGACTACAGGCATGAGCCACCACGCCCAGCTAATTTTTAATTTTTTGTAGAGATACGGTCTCCCTATGTTACCCAAGTTGGTCTTGAACTCCTAGGTTCAAGGGATCCTCCCTCATCAGCCCACCTAAGTGCCTTAAAGAGCATATGTGTGATACTTGGCACAAAGTGAACCTCAGTACACATTTCTTGAATGAATGAATCCCACAAGAATATCTATTGTAATGAAAGATTGAGAGCAGGTACCTGTCTACTTTCTCTTTCCGCATCCAGCATTCTCCTGGAGTGCAGCCTGCAGATGTGAAGGAAGTTGTTGAGAAAGGTGTACAGACTCTTGTGATTGGCCGAGGGATGAGTGAGGCCTTGAAGGTAGGTGTTGGTATGCACAACATTCCAGAAGACAGGTGGGGATCTCTTGGACCTTTGTCTTACAGATTTGTCCTTCGTGGGAGGTCATCTCTATGTATCATGTATCCTCATTTTGCTGACCCAGGATAGCAATGGCTGCATACATTGCTCTGCCTCATCAGCATTGGGGTCTCTAATCTACCTAAAACTGAGACAGTGTCATTTCAACTATTTCTCAGAAATGCCTCAGCCCATGAATCTCTCAAGTTCTGCAAGTATCACTATTTGGTTCTTTATATTTTAATACTACTTTATATCCTCATAGTATATTTTGTAGTACTTCTAATTTTTCTTTTCTTGGACATATTTATGTTGTTTTCCCCGTCAGAAAAAAATTAATTTTTTTTCATTTAAAAAAAATATATAGATGTGGTCTCACTGCGTTGCGCAGGCTGGTCTTGAACTCCTGAGCTCAAATGATCTCCCGCCTCAGTCTCCCAAAGTGCTAGGACTACAGGTGTGAGCTACCACATCTGACCTATTTTTTAATTTTCTTACAGAAATAATACATGCTCATTGTAAAAGATTTAAAAATTCAATGAAGAAATGTAGAAGTAAAGTGAGATTCCCTTCCCAATGTTCCAATTTGGTGTTTATTTCTCCAGTCTTCTCTGAATGCATCTGCAAATATGTACACACTTACACACATAGATACACGTTTATATACTTAAAACCATTTTACATAAATATGTAAATGCTATAGGTATTCTGTAACTTCTTCCCCCACTTATATTACTATATTATGGATAATCTTCCACATAGAAGCCTACTTCATTCTTTGCTTTACAGATGTTCTACAATCCTGTTCCTTACTGATGAAGGTGCCTATTTTATCTAGGACTTTATATATATAGGGCACCTTCATCAGTAGGGCTCAAGCAATCCTCCCTTCTTGGCCTCCTGAAGTGCTGGGATTAAAGGCTTAAGCCACCATGCCTGGCCTATTTATATTTTTAAAATTTAAACTAGTTTTTTTTCCCCATTACAATAATTCCTATCTGAAAGGCTACTGTTATAAATCTCAAATATATAGAAAATATAGGGCATATTAAAAAATATTTCACTTGAGTTCTTTCTGAGACAGTCTAATTAAAATCTATTTTTAAAAAATATTCAGGACAAGCCAGAGTTGAAAAAAAATCATCTAATAATAGCTGCCACTAGTAAGAATATCTTTTATATAAATTCATTTACAAATATTTATTAAGCATTTTCTATGGGTAAGGCACTATTCTAGGCACTGGGGACAGTGCAATAAGACAAACAAGGTTCATGTCTCTCATAGATGATAAAAATACTAGACCACTTTAGATAATCATAAATGCAGTGACAAGATGGTGACTTATGCAGGGCTACTACGGGGTGGTCAACAAACATTTGAGCTGCAGTGTACATACATGAGTCAATTTCATCCTCACCCCAACTCTGTGATGTAAGCACTATTATACCTCTTTTACAAGGGAAGAAATTGGGGCTTGGAGACTTTAAAGAGCTAGCCTAACATTTCTTGGTTAATATATGGCAAAGAAGAAATGTAGACTCAGTTTATTCTAACTCAAACATTTAACATTTACGGCGTTTGTGTACCGAGGTGGATGTTTCACATATCCTTAGCTCAGCTAGTTGTCATAACAACCCTGTGAGCTAGGGGTTAATATCCCTAAGTTACAGACATGTAAACAAAGACTCAGAGAATTTAATTTACTTACCCAAGGTTACAGTGCTAGTAAGGACGTAAATCCAAGGCTAACTGCAAATTCCATGTTGTTTCATTTCCATTTCACTTGAGCTTTATGCATGGGTATCATGCTGCCTCCGTCAAAGAGGCCTCTTTGTCTCACTGGGGTTCACTGCCAAATTTTCGACTGGTGATACACTGAGTGATCATGAAGTGATAGTTGTCACTGTCTAATTCTGTAGAGTACACTTGCCTCACGGCAGGAAAGGAAGCCCTGGGGGATTGCTTTCCCCCTACTTACTCATCTCTTTTCCTCCTTCCCAGGTTCCGTCATCAACTGTGGAGTACCTCAAGAAACATGGCATTGATGTGCGGGTCCTCCAGACAGAGCAGGCAGTGAAGGAGTATAATGCCTTGGCTGCCCAAGGGGTCAGAGTGGGAGGTGTCTTCCATTCCACCTGCTGATGAGGCCTTAAGAGGCGAATAAATCACTAAGCACCTGTGCCTGTGCCTGTGACTTACCATTTTCCAAACCAGCCTCCCCTAAGCATTTTTGGACACCTACTCATAGATGCAGGGATGACCAAGACAAAGTCCCTGTCCTTGGGGGTGCTAAAAGAAAAAGAGGAGACGGAAGTTTAATATTGTAGTGAATGAACTGAGGGAACATTTGAGTAACAGCAACAGTAGGAGTATGCCCTGGGAGTTGGTTCTAGACAGGCTGTTTTACTAACCAACCCAGAGACTAGAGCTTCAAATTTCAACTATAGACCAGGTTGTCACTGTGGCTCACACCTGTAATCCCAGCACTTTGGCAGGAGGCCAAGGTGGGCAGATCACTTGAGGTCAGGGGTTCAACACCAACCTAGCCAACATGGTGAAACCCCATCTCTATTAAAACTACAAAAAGTAGCTGAGAGTGGCGGTGCGTGCCTATAATCCCAGCTACTTAGGAGGCTAAAACAGGCAACACTTGAACCTGGGAGGTAGAAGTTGCGGTGAGCTGAGATGGAGCCACTGCACTCCAACCTGGGTGACAGTGCGAGACTCCAACTCAAAAAAAAAAAAAAAAAAAATCAACTATAAAATGTTGGGGCTGGACTAGATGCCCTTTAAGTGTTCCTACTGGCTCAGATAGTCTTTGTTCTATTAAATACTCAGGTGGGCTTTGTAAAGCCTTAGAATAGACTGAGAGGACTACAAGTTATCAGCATCACCTTATTTTTATTTTTATTTTCTTTTTAAAGAACTATGAGCTTTGGTGTCAAATAGCCTTGACTTTGAACTGTAGCTCACTGCCTCTCACTGGTTGGGTATTTGTTTAATTTCTCAGTTTCACTGTTCTCATCTGTCAGATCAGGATAACATTAGCAGTACCTGGAGTCACTGTAGGTATTAAATGAGGCAATTCATAGAAAGTATTCAGTATTAACTCACTGCCTGGCATGTAGTAAAGACTCAGTACATTAAACCACTGTTGTCCTTATCTTTCTATCAATGGGGATACTGTGTAAAGCCTAGTTTCATTTTATGATGCTTAATATAGCAGCTTATTATTTCATAGAGTCATAGAATGTTGGAGTCCAAAGGAACTATCTCACTCATTTGTTCAGTAATTCTCTTTCATATCCATTCACAGACAGCCTATTACTAATTTTCTTATGACCACTTATTGGGCCCTGGGGGAATAAGGACGAATGTTACAGTTCCTGCCCTTAGGAATTATGTTGTATGAGAGATGGACAAGTAAACAAAAATGATACAATGTTAATACTACAGTAGTTACTAGGTCCAGTGGTGGCACAAAGAAAAGACTAATTTATCCTACGAGGACAGAAGGAAAACTAGGGAAGATAACACTAAGGAGATGATATTTAAGCTGAGTCTTTAAAAATGCAAGGTTCATCAATTCCCTGAAAAAATATTATTTACTTGGCAGCTCTTTTACCTAGACATTTACTAAGCATGGTATTTATCACAGCCATAACTAAATAAAATTGCTCCACCCCAGCCATCACTGGAGCAGCAGCACTGGAAAGATGATTTTTGCTTCACACGATCCTGCCACCTGACTACATAGTTAGGCTTCTGACCTACAGGGACCAATCCATAGACTGGACAGCAACTTAAGATGTAGCTTGGCAAGAAAAGCTGAAGCAGTGTAGAAAGTGAAGGGATTTATTTTTTTCCAAGATTACCAAGCAAGTAAGTGGCAGAGCTAGGATTAGAACCTAGCACTATGTCATCTTTTTTATGGCATATACCTCCTTACTCCCTAGAAGCCCGTGAGAGTGAGCGCTTCACAGACCCGACACCCAGCACTGAAGTCTTCGAAGGTTCTGCTTGGTGCCCTTTCCGCAGCCCTTTCATTTGTCAGATGACAGATCTTTCTAGATCTGTTCCCTTGGCTGATAAAGCCAGCCCTCTGTATAGCTAAGAGGGATGTTTGATGAAATTCAGACTGTTTCTCTAGTGATGCAGTCTTTTTTTTTTTTTTGGTCAAATGTGAGACAGCTCCAGTGGGTGTTGAATTCAGTGTGGGTGTAATAATTATTCCTAAGTGAGTTGTCTCCGATAAAGAGAACTTAGTATAAACTTCTTATATCTATCAGTGACATTATTAAACTTTTAAGAAAACCTGCTAATACATAGCCCCTACTTTTGAACCTGGTGCACATGGTCAGTGATGGAAATATGTAGAGTATGAAGAGAAGCTGTTTTTCCACATGACAATGTACTTAATCATTAAAGCCTTTGTGTCTTAATCATTAAAACCTCTCAGTTTGTAGGTAGCACAGCCCTCAAGCTGCCCACTCTTAATTTCTTCTAGCTTGAGTGGTTAAGACAAGAAGTTGGCAATGTGCTAGGTGTGTACCTTTCTTCTCCATAATTGTGTTTGCTGAGTTCAGTCACCTCAAAGCAAATATAAAGTCCTTTCAGAAACCTGAATCTCAGAAGCTTGCTTTTGCAGCATGCCATGGTACTATATTTGCTCTGGATTCACAGAATCATTCTTCCCTTGCTGAGTATGTGCCAGGAGTTGTGCTGAGGATACAGCACAGACATTCTTACAGTGCAGGTACAGATCAGTTGGAAGAAGACAGACATACAAATACAGTGAGGATGTAGAAGTTGCAAATTGGCACAAATCTATCTGGAGACATGTTTTGTTTGACTCAGTAATTTTTTTTTTTTTTTTTTGAGACGGAGTTTTTTTGCTCTTGTTACCCAGGCTGGAGTGCAATGGCGCGATCTCGGCTCACCGCAACCTCCGCCTCCTGGGTTCAGGCAATTCTCCTGCCTCAGCCTCCGGAGTAGCTGGGATTACAGGCACGCGCCACCATGTCCAGCTAATTTTTTGTATTTTTAGTAGAGACGGGGTTTCACCATGTTGGCCAGGATGGTCTCGATCTCTTAACCTTGTGATCCACCTGCCTCGGCCTCCCAAAGTGCTGGGATTACAGGCTTGAGCCACCGCGCCCTGCTTGACTCAGTAATTTTAACATTTACTTTTGTTACCAAGGTTTTTTCAGTTGGGTATTTTTTCATGAAAATTAAGATTTCTGGCTGTTTTGAAAGAATGGGAAGAACTGACACGACGAAGCCAACACTTACAAATTAAAATAACTGAGTACAATGGAATAGCACTGCCTTCTCCAACAGATAATGTGCTCTCTGATTCTTCAGTTGCTATTATCTTGCAGGCCACTTTATTCCTTTACTTTTCCGCCTACCTTTCTTAAGGAGTTTGCGTTTGTGAACCTGTAATGCAATATTAGTAAATACTATACTATGTGTGAAGAATATGGTATAGGAGGCTGTGGGAACATAGAGGAAATGTTCCAAGCCCATAAGAGACACAGATATGTTCTAGAACAAGGCCCAGTCCTGAAGAATGGAAGGAAAGGAACCATAGGAGACAGTCTTGAGGACCACCTTCCAAGGCTCAGCAGGTCCAAAGGCCTAGAGGTGACAGAAAAACACTACAGGTAATTCTGTTCAGTAGAGAGTGAGTTTGGGACAGGGAGTATGCAGCTGGAGACAAAGCAGAGGCATGAAGAGCCTTCAGGACAGGAGTTTAGACTTTATCCTGGGATGAGTAGTGATCCACTGAAAAAGCCTGAGCAGGCAAATTGGTGTGGTCAGATTGGCTCATCCAGAGGCTAATGCCATGCTTGAGGAGGGTTGACGGTGGCTGTATCAGTATAGAAACAGTATAAGAAGAGGACTAAACAACATGAAGGAAGAGGAATCTAAAGGACTTGATGGCTACTTTTGTATGAGGGATGAGGAAGGAATCCAATGTGACAAAACAGGTTTCTGGCTCTGACTGCTGGGTGCATGCTAGACCACTTAGCATGAGTAGTGATCCAATGAAAGGGCCTGAGCAGGGGAATGCTAGACCACTAAGAACAGACTCCCGTGATGAAAGCCACCTGGGGAAGAAACAGGAGGCCTGGGTTCTAGCCTCAGCTTCACCACTAACTCAGTCTCTCTGGGCCTGCATATTGATGTGTAAATGAAGGTGCCACACTGGAGTGCCCTTTATGCCCCCTTCCAAGCCTTTATAAAAAGATTTTTTTTCCACTTCAGTGAAAAAGTGCAGAATCAGATACAGAAAAACTAAAATTCTCATATTCCCCAGAACCTGAAAATTCAGGGTAAAAACAATTTTTAAAGTTGAGCCCAACCCCAATACAATACTTGAATTCCTTAGCAACAAACTTGTCAGGAGCCTGTTCAACCTCGGCTCAAACACATCTATCCTGGAGAATTCTAAATCCCCTAGCGCAGCCTGTTCAAGTCTTATACAGCTTTAAAAAATGTATTCTGATACTCAGCCAAAGGTAGACTAAGTGCATGTCTACTTTTGGTGGAAAAAGTACTAAATTTTGCATTTTTCTTTTTTTTTCCCCCACTTAGTCTTCAGAACAGGAATACATTTTGCCTTTTTAAGACAGGATCAAGTCCTGGCTTTATCCCTTAGGAGACACCATCTCAAAGCCTGTTTCCTTACATGGAAAATGAGGGCTAAATTGGAGGATTTTTATAAAAAGGGGTACTTACCTGAAAAATATCCAGCATATTCTTCCCTTAGAAGGCTTTCTATAATTACAGCAGGATGGGCTCAGGCAGCAGCCATGGTTCTTCATGTTTTTGTCTAGGCTCCAACCCAGCAACTGTCGTCAAGTGTTCATGTCAGGGCTGTGGTACAATTACACTTCAGAGGTGCAAAAACAGGTGAGCATACTAGAAAAACTCAGCTTACTGGAGCTAATCATTCTTTCCCTAGTTCCTCTTTAGCACTCATGACCTCCTGGAAATAGACTGCTTGGGTTCAGAAACCAGATCTGTCATTTACTAGTTGTGTGACCTAGGACGAGTTACTTATTTCTCTCAACTTCAACTGCCTTGTTTATAAAATGAAAATAACAATACCTAGAGAGTTAACTAATTCATGTAAAGAGTTTACAACACTGCCAGGTACACATTTAAGTACAT